AGCGGGACCCCGGGGCAGGCCGGGCTGGGCGGGCTGAGCAGCTACGGCTGGAGCTGAGTGAGCCCCAGTTCCGGTCAGAGCTGAGCAGTGGGCCTGGCCCTCCAGCTCCTACCCGCCTGGAACTCACTTGCTCTGACCTACACGGTGAGAGCTGCTGGGGCATAGGGCCTGGGGCCTGGGCCCCCAGGAGAGGTGGGCTTGGGGCTATGGAAGAGGCCAGGTCACAGTTGGAGCAGTCTCTGGCTTAGGCCTTTACCAGCTCTGCAGGTCACAAATATTTCCTATCCCTGGTCCTCCTGGCAATGAGCAGAGTGGACCCTTCGTGCCTGGGCCACTGTAGACCATGGTGTGTTTGGAAGGGAGGGACTCTGACCCTGTAATCTGACATTGGGGAAAAATGGGAAAAGGCAGCAGTGATGAGCCCCCTCCCATCCCTTTCTGTTCTTTCCAGGTGTTTATGAAGATGGAGAGAAGCCACCTGTTCCCTGCCTGCGTGTCTCCAAAGCCCTGGACCCCAAGAGCATTGGACACAAGTACTTCCTGCCCCAGTAAGTGAGAACTCTGGAGGGGCAGGAGAGGGGGGTTCTGCTGCCAGCTTGGGACCAGGTGCAGTCTTGCAGGCCAGTGACAGGCCTGTGCCCTGGCAGGGTAGTGGTGACCCTGAACCCCCAGTCCAGCAGCGCACATTGGGAGGTGGCCCCAGAGAAGGGAGAGGAGCTGGAGATGTCAGCTGAGAGTCCATGCGAGCTACGAGAGCCTGAGCCCTCGCCCTTCTCCTCCAAGAGGACCATGTATGAGACAGAGGAGGTGAGACCTGGCCCCACCTCTTCCCGGGTCACCCCTCATCCTGCACCACTCTGGTCTCACTTGTGTGGCTATGAGATAAGGCGACAGGACCACCTGGTGTGGGCATGATGTGACCCACCACTGGTGAGGATTGTCTGTTCCATCATTTCCGGGCAATAAGGAAGCCCCCCTCCCTGCTCACAGGATGGGAGGAAGCATGCTGTGAGGGCAGGCCCCCGGGAGAGCATAGGTCCTCGGGACCCTGACCTACCTCAACTGTTTATCACAGTGTACTTGGGCCTTGGGATCCTCTTTTCTGAAGGTGACGAGGGCTGAATGAGAGGCAGTTAAGGACCCAGTGCCACTTCAGTGGTTGTGTCACCTTGAGTTACCTACAGACGGGTTTCCTGCTCTGAAAAGTGGACCCAATGACCTCGGTCTCATTCACAGGCCAGCTGTGAGGCTTAGAGGAGCTGCATACTTGTGAAACCCTCAGAACAGGGTTGGCTTTTCGTCAGCGCTGTGTGTCATGGCCAGCATGTATCCACAGCAGAGGAGGGCCCCTGTGAATAAATGTATGCGTGCATGAACGAATGAATGACAGGAGGTCAGGACCCAGACTTGGGTCTGTCTGACCCCAGAGCCAAACATAGATCCTGGCCTCTTTAAGATGACTTTCCATCTTACATTCTTTTTCCCCCTCCTCCCCTGGTCTTATCCTGTCTAGATGGTGATTCCTGGAGACCCTGAAGAGATGAGAACGTTCCAGAACAGGACCCTGGCCCTGTCACGCTGCAGCGTGGAAGTGGTCCTGCCCGGCGCCCACATCTTTCTGCCCAGCAAAGAGGTCTATGAGAGCCTCTACAACAGGTGGAGACATGGGGTGGGCAGGGCTGGGCAAGGGGCCGGGCCCTGGCCTCCCTCACCTCTGCTGTCCATCCGCCTATCTCAGGATCAACAACGACCTGCTCATGTGGGAGCCTGCAGACCTGCTCCCCACTCCCGACCTCACCACTCATCCCCCTGGCTTCCCAGGCCCGTCAGGCTTCTGGCATGACAACTTCAAGATGTGCAAGTCTGCTTTCAAGCTGGGTATGAGGGGTGCTATGGCTGGGCCAGAAGGAGGATCCTCAGATCCGGACAGGGCTGGGCCAGACCTCCCAGGTCTCCTTCCCACCCAGCTGCCTTGATCTCACCGCAGACTCAGACTCAGATGACGAGGATGCCCACTTCTTCTCGGTGGGGACATCGGCCGCACCCCAGGCCCCAGTGCCTGAGCCCCCAACCCCTCACTCCCAAAGTACCTTCTCTACACTGGTGACAGTGCTCAAGGGTCGGATCACAGCCCTCTGCGAGGCCAAGGTGAGGACAGCCCTGCTGGGCAGGTGAGCCAGCCCCTTACTCCAGAGCCCCCCCGACAGGAGGGCAGGGCAAGCCTGAGCATCTCCCAACTGGGAACCTGGAGAACTGAAGCCCCCACCCGCCGCCCACTGGTCCACACAGCCAGCACCTGTCTCAGTGTACCTGGCAGCCACGTGGTAGCACCTTGCTAGGGGTAGGCCACCATTTGATCTGAGGAGGCAGATAGAGCAGGGGTTATTCCTCCCCTTTGGCAAAAGAGGCAAGCGCTGCCCAGAGCCTCCAGCCAGCTCTGTGGGAGAAGCTGACCCCTCCGCCCCAGGCCACAGCTCCAAGAGGCACTGTACCCCTGAGCAGCTGCTGAAGCCAGGCGGGGTCTCTGTCTGCAGGATGAGGGCGGGAGGCGGCTGGAGGCTATGCATGGGGAACTGGTACTGGACGTGGAGCACGGTACCCTCTTCAGCGTCTCCCAGTACCGCGGCCAGCCGGGACTTGGCTACTTCTGCCTGGAAGCTGAAAAGGCAGCTCTCTATCACCAAGGTGTGAGGGCTGGGAGATTGTCGCTGGGAATCCAGGCTCAGGGCTGGAGGCTCTCAGGAAGGATGTGACCCTGGGAAGAGTGGGTGGCCAGCTGGCTTTGCAAGGGGGCTCACAAGGTCCCTCCTCAGCGGCCGTGGATGACTACCTGCTGCCCAGTCACCTGGAACTGCCCAGCTTTGCTCCCCCCACCCAGTTGGCCCCCACCATCTACCCATCGGAGGAAGGGTTGACTGGGCGAGGATCCTCGGGCCGCAAGGGTCAGGGCCCGGGCCCCCAGATGCTGTCCACAGCTGTGCGCATCCACCTGGATCCCCACAAGAACGTCAAGGTACACCTGCCTTTGCTTGCCACCCACCCCCATGGCTAGGCAGCTGCCTCCCTGGTGCATGGCGGGGCTTGGCCCTTCCACCATCCTGACTGCACCCCTACCCTCAGGAGTTCCTGGTGACATTGCGGCTACACAAAGCCACCCTGCGCCATTACATGGCTCTGCCTGAACAGAGCTGGCACTCCCAGGTGAGCAAGGGTGGCCCGGGAGGACACGTGCCCCAGTGATTCTGGATTCCTGGTCTGGGCAAGCAGGTCTCCAGGCAGAAGCCGGTGTGAGGACCATGGACTAGGCCAGAGTTAACCTTTGCCAGGGCTCCTGGGAAGGGGAAGTGCTGGACAGCAGTGGGCAGCAGATGGGGTCCTGGGCAGGGCAGTGTTAGTGGAGGCCGGAAGCCGCCTTATCCTTCCTGCCCCTCCCGCCCTGGATCTGAAGCTGCTGGAGTTCTTGGACGTGCTGGATGACCCCGTGCTGGGCTACCTGCCCCCGACAGTCATCACCGTCCTGCACACACACCTGTTCTCCTGCGCCGTGGACTACAGGTACCCAGGCTGGGCGGGCCAGGTGCTGGGGCAGGCTTTCAGGTGTAAGGTGCCTGCTGCAGCTCAAGTGTAACCCCCAGGCCCCTCTACCTCCCTGTGCGTGTCCTGGTCACCGCTGAGACCTTCACCCTGTCCAGCAACATCATCATGGACACCTCCACCTTCCTGCTCAGGTATGCAGGCTGCCCTCGCGTGCATCCATCCCACCCTCAGCCAGTCTGCAGCTGCCTACTGCGTGTGTCCTTGGGCCTCTCTCTCAGCCCTTCTGTATGTCTGGGGGTGAGCCCTCCCTTAGGAATGTGAAATGTTTCTGCCTTCCCGGAGAGCATTTGAATCAGAGCCTAAAATCATTTGTGCTCTCTGGCCTGGTAATGGGGTGTGTGTGTATGTGTGTGTGTGTGTGTGTGTGTGTGTGTGTGTGTGTGTCCGAAGGCTAGAAAGATGAGACAGGTGGAATATACTGCTTCTGTAGTATAATTTAAAACACTTGCAAGTTTTAAATGGTCTAAATGCCCCAAATTACAACTTGCGTAAATTAATGTGGCCCACTCTTTGTGGAATGTTGTACGGACATTAAAGTCAAGTTGAAGGGGGCCAGCTGGTGGTGTGCTAGCTAAGGTGACTGCATCCTACATGGCTAGCTGCATGGTTTGAGTCCCAGACCCGGCAGCTTGAAAATCATACCTAGCACATGTGCATGTGTGTGCGCCTAAAATCCCAAGAGGAGACTGGAGGAGAAGGGTTTACAGTGTGGCCACCCCTCCTGGGGAGTGAGTTCTCATTTTCTCTTTCTCTCTGTCTCTCTAGTGAGCATACATGCCCTATAGCAAACACAAACAAACAAAAAAAGTCAAGTCGAAGAATAACGTGGGGTTGGCCTGTAGTATAGTACTTAAGCCCTGTACATAGAAAGCCAAATCTCACATGGCTGACCCAGTTCAAGTCCTGACCCAGTGGCTTGAAAATCAATGCCAGGTGCACACATGCCCCAAATCCTGACAAGATGGAGGAATGAAAGAGAAGGATTGCGGTGCGACCATACCCCATTGGGGAGTGCTTTCCCTTTCTCTCTGTCTCCTTGGTGAGTGTGCACACCCTCTGGCAATAAAGTAAAATGTGAAAAAAATATAAGGAAATGTCACAGTCCAATGTTTACTGAGAAAAATAGGACAGAGAATTACCAGGGATTTTTTTTTGTTTTTTGGGGGGTTTTTTAGGAGAAAATTTTTCTGTAGGACTCGTGTGCTTGCTGGAGAGACAGAGAGAAACAGAAAATGAGAAATCGTCCTCCCAGGGGGATGACCACACCGCCATCCCTGCTCTTCCATTCTCCTCTGGGGATTTTGGGCATGCACACACACGTGCCTGATGTTTTTTAAGCTGCCAGGTCTGGGACTCAAACCATGATTGACTATATGGGAGCCCATCCATGTAACCATTGTGCCATCTGCTGGCCCACAGACTTGCCAGTGTTTTAAAAATATGTATGTCAGGACCAGCAGTTGGCATAATGGCTATGTCACTGGACTCCCAGGTAGTCAGTTGACCGCAGTTCGAGTCCCGGACCTGGTGGCTTAAACTCATGCCTAGTGCGTGTACGTGCATGCCCAAGATCCCGAGAGGAGAATGGAGAAGGGATTATGGTGTGGCCATCCCCCGGGGGGTGATTTCTGCTTTCTGTCTCTCTGTCTCTGTCTTTCTGGCAAGTGCACGCACTCTATAGCAAAAACCTCTCCAAAAAAAAAGTATGTCTATGAGGAGGCATGTATCTTTGTGGCCGCATAGGAAGAACTAGAGTGAGATGGTGTGGTGGTTTTCTCTGTTTGGATTCGAGGTTATGAGTGATTTTAATTTTCTTTTTTATCTAAAATATTGGGTTGTCTGAAAAATCATGATGCATTTTTGCATAGAAAAACATAGAAAAATACATCATGACTTTTCCAACAACCCAGTATCTTAAAGGAGATTATATTATGTTACTATTAAATAAGGATTTATTTGGGACAGCCTGCAGTGTGGTGGTTGAGGATCTCAAGTGGCTAACTGCGTTTGAGTCAGCAGCTTGAAAACATGTCATGGTTGGGACCAGCAGATGGTGTAGTGGTTATGTCCCTGGACTCCCACGTAGTTGACCATGGTTCGAGTCCTGGACCTGGCAGCTTAAAACTCTTGCCAGGCATGTGCACGCGTGACCAAAATCCCAAGAGGAGAATGGAGGAGAAGGGATTGCAGCATGGTCATCCCCTGGGGGGTGATTTCTCACTTTCTGTCTGTCTGTCTCTCCAGCAAGCACACATACCTTATAGTAAAAAAAAAAAAAAAAGAAGAAAAAAGAAAAAGAAAGAAAGCTAAACATGCCAGGACATGTACGTGCATGCCCAAAATCCTGCAAGAGGAGGGATTGCAGCGGAGCCATCCCCAACAGGGGGTATTTTCTTGCTTTCCTTCCCTCTATGTCTGGGAAGGGGCATGTGCCCCTCTTATTACAAAATAAATAAATGAGGACTTTTTTGTCGGGGGGGGAGGTTTGCTTTAGGGCGCTTGCGCTTGCCAGAGAGAAAGAGACCGATAGAGCGAGTGAGAGGGAAAGTGAGAAATCACTCCCCAGAGGGGATGGCCACGCCAACGATCCCTTCTCCTCCATTCTCCTCCTAGGATCTTGGGTACACACGCACATGTGCCCAATGTAATTTTAAAGATACTGGATCCTGAATTTGAACCATGGTCAGCCATGTGGGGAGTCCAGTGATATAAGCGCTACACCATCTGCTGGACACTATAAATATTTGTTTTATTTTATTTTATTTATTTATTATAAGAGATTTTTAGGGAGGCCTTAGGGAGTGTGCGCTTGTTGGAGAGAAGAGAGACAGAGACAGAAACAGTGAAGGGAAAGTGAGAAATTACCCCCAGGGGGAATGGCTGCACTGCAATCCCTCTCCTCCATTCTCCTCTGAGATTTTGGGCATGCACACACATGCACCCAGCGTGATTTTTAAGCCATTAGGTCTGGGAACTGGAACTGCAGTCAGCCATGTGCGAGTCTAGCGATGTAACTGCTAAGCTGTCTCCTGGTCCCATATTTTAAAAGAACAATAAATATCACAGGATGACTAAAGGACGCCCCCCTTCCTGGACTGTTACGAGGCCCAGATGAGGTGGTGGAACTGCAGATATTCTGAGAACCTTCATGACTCCCCCACTAAGGGAGTGCTGCTTTCTGAGCCTGGAGCGTGGAGGCCAGGCCATTCTCCCCACTGCACAGACAAGAACACTGAGACTGGCCGGGGCCCGTCATTACAGCTTTCTGTGGGCCTAGGAGCCCTCTGCCTGTGTCCAGGAGCCCCACCCTTGCCGGCCCCATGGAGCTGCTGCCTGCAGCAGTTCCTGGGCCCTTCTCAGCCCTCTTCCCCACCAGGTTCATCCTTGATGACTCCGCCTTGTACCTGTCTGACAAGTGTGAGGTGGAGACCCTGGATCTGCGGCGAGGTGGGCAGGGCCTGAACTGGGTTCCCTCCCCTCTCTGGGACCATAGTCCCTGGCCGTAGCCAGAGCAGCCACGTGTCCTCGCGCAGATGTTGGCTGGGCTCTTAGCTCCCATGCATGCGTGCACATGAGAGTTCTGCCCCTAGATGAGCAGTTCTCCCCTGGGTGGTGGGGCAGGGGCCAGGTGTGAGGAGGCACCAGCAGCTGTTTCCCTGCCCTCTGCTTCAGACTATGTCTGTGTCTTGGATGTGGACCTCCTGGAGCTTGTGATCAAAACCTGGAAAGGGAGCACTGAGGGCAGACTGGTGAGTGTGGCTGTTACCCAGGGTTCCTCAAGCCAGATCGGGGCAGAGGCCCATGGACTCTTCAAGGGCTTGCCCTTCTCCCTTGGCCTGGCTCTGGTCACAGTCAGCACCTACCCTTCCCTGCTGGGCTCTGGTTGGTGTCTCTCCTCACAAGGGCCAGACCCACCAGGGGCCAGAGGGTCCCATGTATTTGGTGATCGTGGGTTTTAGCCTCACCACTAGAGGGCAGCACAGCCTTTGCTGCAGTCAGATAGCTTTTGTGGGTCCCGGTTCCTTATCTTTAAAATGGAAAGAACAGGTCCCACCACACCCAGCTAAGGAGGACAAAGGAGGCACAGCACGAGGGTGGGCTGATTGGGCGCACTCCTGTTCCCGTGGCCCCAGGTCAAGCCCCTTTAATTTCTAGGCCCAGTCAGTTTGCTCCTCTGTTCAGTGGGATTCCAGGCACACTAACCACCTCAGGAAAACCTGGCCCTGTTCTGCCTGTGGCAGGACCAGAACCGCGGTGCCCTTCCAGGGAGGGTAGGGCGCGGCTGCAGTGGAGCCTGAGCCGACGCCGCCCTGCACTCCACAGAGCCAGCCACTGTTCGAGCTGCGCTGCTCCAACAACGTGGTGCACGTGCACAGCTGCGCCGACTCGTGTGCCCTGCTGGCCAACCTGCTCCAGTACGTAATGAGCGCGGGCGACCTGCACCCCCCACCCCGGCCCCCCAGCCCCACGGAGATCGCCGGCCAGAAGGTACAGGTGAGGCCTGGCCACACAGGCTACCAGAGCTCGGCCAGGCCCCCTCCCCTGCCATGGTCCTCAGGGGCCTGGGGTGGGGGTGTCCTGGAGCTGCCCTCCCTCCTGTGACTCATCCATCACTCCCCCCGACCTGGCCCAGCTCTCCGAGAGCCCTGCCTCCCTGCCCTCGTGTCCCCCAGTGGAGACAGCCCTCATCAACCAGCGGGACCTGGCCGATGCCCTCCTGGACACTGAGCGCAGCCTGCGGGAGCTGGCCCAGCCCTCAGGTGTGCTTGGGGTGCTTAGGGGAGAGCAGACACCATCAGACACCCACAATATGCATCTCCCAAAAATGGCCTTTCTCTCGCCCACAGGTGGCCCCCTCCCTCAGGCCTCGCCCGTCTCGGTCTACCTATTCCCAGGTGAACGCAGCGGGGCCCAGGCCCCTTCACCACCTGCAGGTGGCCCCTCTGACAGCTCAGGGTCCCGCTCAGAGGCTAAAGAAGAGGAAAAGGAAGAGGAGGGTGATGGGGACGCTCTGGACAGTGACGAGTTCTGCATCCTCGACGCTCCTGGCCTGGGCATCCCGGTATGTAGAGGACGGGAGGGCGCCGTCCCCGCCCTCCAGGCTGCTGTCTGGGGAGGGCCCTGCATGCCCAGCTGGTCTAGAGCCCCACTATGAGAGGAACCGGCAGGCGGCAGTCACCATCACCACGGAGGGTGCTGGGTCCGGGCTCTCTGGGGAAGCAGCCCTTCGTTTTGAAGGAGAGGCGGATTTCCAGAGGAGTGGGCCTGACGTCCTGGCAGAGGGGCTGGGACATTCAAGGGGATCGAAGAAGAGAGGACAGTTAGCAGGAGTGGGAGGAGGCCCACTGGCTGCTGGGACCAGTGGGAATGTTTGAAGGACCCGAGGAGACAGGGCTGACAGGAGCAGGGGCTCTCAGGCCCATCCCAGAAGGACCACTCAGACCCAGGCTCCAAAAATAATAGGCTAAGAGAGTCATGTTTGGGGACCAGCAGTTGACGTAATGGCTGTGTCGCTGGACTCCCATGTAGTTGACCGCAGTTCAAGTCCGGGACCCGGTGGCTTAAACTTACACCAGGCGCATGTGTGTGCATGCCCAAGATCCCGAGAGGAGAACGGAGGAGAAGAGATCACAGCGTGGCCATCCCCCCTGGGGGGTGATTTCTCACTTTCTGTCTCTCTGTCTCTCTCTGTCTTTCTGGCAAGCACACGCGCCCTATAGCAAAAACCTCTCAAGAAAAAAGAAAGAAAGAAAAAAGAGGGTCATCTTTGTCAAAAATGGAGGAGGAGAGTGAAGTGTGAGGATAAGGGAGAAGCAGGAGCCGGGGTCGGGGGTGGCTGGAGAGGAAACTCGTCCATGCTCCGCACCTTCACCGGCCTCTTTCCGCAGCCCCGAGATGGGGAGCCCGTGGTGACACAGCTGCATCCAGGCCCCATCGTCGTGCGGGATGGACACTTCTCGCGGCCACTGGGCAGCACGGACCTGCTACGGGCACCGGCCCACTTCCCAGTGCCCAGCAGTCGAGTGGTGCTGCGTGAGGTCTCCCTCGTTTGGCACCTCTATGGAGGCCGAGACTTTGGGCCCCACCCTGGCCACAGGTAAGAGATATCTGCAGGAGACTGGGACCAGGCCCAGGCCAGCTCTGACCTTCAGCAGCTGGTCTATCCCTATCTGGCCTCAGTTTCCGCATCCTTGACTTTCTTGCCTACCTTCCAGACTGGAGAGGCTCTTGCTCTTAGGCTGAAAACTCTGCTACCAGTGGGGGTTCTTCTGAGTCAGCTTGCTCTCTGTCTCTTTTCCCAGGGCAAGAGTTGGCCTCACAGGCCCCAGGGGCTCCCCTTCCCGCTGCTCTGGCCCCAACCGGCCCCAGAACTCATGGCGTACGCAGGGGGGCAGTGGGCGGCAGCACCACGTCCTCATGGAGATCCAGCTCAGCAAGGTGAGTGCGGGGTGTGAGTGCACCGCGGGTGCTGTTTCTCTTGTCACGCGGCAGCCAAAGCAGGCAGAGCCCGAGTAGGACGTGTCTGAGTCTGGCGTGGTGAAAACCACCTGGGAGGGGCACAGGCTTGCTGGGGAGGAGTCAGAAGGCCTTCTTGCAATGGGACCGACTGAGCAGAGACCGAAAGAGTGAGGAGGTGAGTGCGGAGGAGGTGTTCAGGCAGGGGGACAACTGGAAAGCTGCACATGGGGAGCACCAGGCCGGGAGGCAGCGGCTGAGCCAGCGATGAGGTGAGGCCAGAGCCCAGCAGGAACAGAACAGTTTTGATTCTTAACTCAAGAGAGGTGGAGGGCCCTGGGAGTTGAGGTGAGGCTGCCGTGGGACAACCACTGCAGCAGTCAGTGCAGACGGAGTGTCTGGGCAGGGTAGCAGCTGCAGGGCCAATGAGAAGAGGCAGGTTCTGGAGAGGTGGGCTGGGTAGAGGCAGCTTTGGGACCCGGTGAGATACAGAGCAATCCAGAGGGTTTGGGCCAGAGAACAGGCACAGCAGGAGGTCCCCCTTCCTGAGAGTGACTTGGGCCAGTGCTAGGCTTCCTGAGGGTCACCGGAGGCGGGGGGACAGAAGAGCACGTGAGGCTGGGGGAGCAGTGGGCTGTGCTGAGACGAGAACTCTGAGGAGGTGAACGTCAGAGTGTGACCAGGGCCTCTGGGGCCTGACAGGGAGCCAGCTGTGCAGGAAGAGGGCAGGCTCTCCCCGGAGGGGGAGAGAGTGAGCCTGGGGACAAAGGCCTGAAGACAACAGGCTGAACCTACCCGAGGGGCAGGTCTGGAAGGAGAGATAAGGCCCTGCTGGACTGAGGTGAAGAGCCTGCAGGGAAGCCACAGAGGGCCAGTGAGGCTGGTGGGCACCTGCTTTACAGAGATCCTGTGGGGGTGTGGAGAAGGAGCTGGAGAGGACAGCAGGTCGTCCAGGGGAGCGGGAAGAGGGGTCGGCAGCTGGGAGACCGGGTAGCTGCTGTAGAGGTGAACGATGCGTAGAGGGAGTGGAGAGAGTTCTGAGACTTTGATGATGAAGGCATTGGAGGGTGAAGGTGGGGCCATGGTTTGCCGCAGGCACCACTTAGGTGAGATAGGGACTGTAGGAATGTGGACAGGTAGACCTGGGGGAGGAGGAGGGCAAGGACTCATTGTGGCCAGGTAGAGCTGAAAATGCTAGTGGGGGGACCAGCAGTTAGCATAATGACTATGTCTCTGGACTTCCATGTAGTCCACCATGGTTCAAATCCTGGACCTGGTGGCTTAAAATTCACGCCGGGCGCATGTGCGTGCGTGCCCAGGATCCTGAGAGGAGAATGGAGGAGAAAGGATTGCGGCATGGCCATCCCCCCTGGGGGGTGATTTCTTGCTTTCTGTCTCTCTGTCTCTCTCTGTCTGTCTGGCGAGTGCATGCGCCCTATAGCAAAAGCCTCTCCCAAAAAAAAAAAAAAAAGAAAAGAAAAAGAAAATGCTAGTGGGACAGCCACATGGAGGTATCGAGGGGATGGCCAGGTGTGGGGCCGAGATGGGGGTGGGAACTAAAAACGTTGCTGGGAGAGAAGGGGCCTGGGGTGTCTTCTGTCCATCTTGGGGCCTGCCTATCAGCTCAGGCCTCTGTCCACCCCACAGGTAAGCTTCCAGCATGAAGTGTACCCAGCAGAGCCAGCCTCGGGCCCCGCCGCCCCCGGCAAGGAGCTGGAGGAGCGGCCGCTGTCCCGCCAGGTGTTCATTGTGCAGGAACTTGAGGTCCGTGACCGGCTCGCCTCCTCCCAGATCAACAAGTTCCTGTACCTGCACACGAGCGAGCGGATGCCGCGGCGCGCCCACTCCAACATGGTATGGCCCCTACCATGCCCCTGGCCAGGGCCCCAGGCTGCAGGGCCACATCCCAGGCTGTTGCGGGGCGGGGGGTGGGCTTAGCGGAGGGTACAGCTGACTGGGGAGCCGGCAGGGACTGGGCCGGAAGCCCAGTAGGCGCCAGAGCTGTTCTCTGCCCCTAGCTCACCATCAAAGCGCTGCACGTGGCCCCCACCACCAACCCGGGGGGGCCCGAGTGCTGTCTCCGTGTCTCGCTGATGCCCCTGAGGCTCAACGTGGACCAGGTGAGTGGCCAGGGGAGGGCGGGCCCACGGTGGGCCCTGCTGTCTCCCAGCTGCCGAGTTGACCCACTGCCTCAACTGCGCCCGCAGGATGCCCTCTTCTTCCTTAAGGACTTCTTCACCAGCCTGGCAGCCGGCATCAACCCCATGGTCTCAGGGGAGACCCCCACTGAGGGTGAGTGGTCGGGCCAAGGAGAGGAGGGTCCGGGCCTCCTGCCTCCCAGGACAGCCCAGCCCAGGCTGTCAGTCATCCTCGTTCCCGTCCCTTAGCTCGTCCCGAGACCCAAGCCCAGCACAGCAGCCCCCAGGAAGGGCAGCCCGAGGGCTTGGAGACGACCGCCTCACAGGAAGCCGCGGGGAGCGGACACAGCCCCTCTGCAGAGCAGCAGCCCATCTACTTCAGGTAGCACTCAGGGCTCGGGCCTGGGCCAGGGTGCAGGGGGCCAGGACCGCGACCAAAGTCCCACCTCCCCGCTCCCCCACCCAGGGAGTTCCGCTTCACATCCGAGGTGCCCATCTGGCTGGATTACCACGGCAAGCACGTCACCATGGACCAGGTGGTAAGGGGGCCGACAGGCAGGGTGGCCGTGTGACCGGGCCCTCTGTGGGTCCCAGTTGCGCTCATCTGTGGCTGAGCCTCACAGGGGCCGGGGCCTTTATCTAGGTACCACCGGCTGCTGAGCCGGCCCGCAGTGGCCCATGTCCCATTATATGAGCCCAAGCCCCTGTCCTCCCCTAGGGCACTTTTGCTGGCCTGCTCATCGGCCTGGCCCAGCTCAACTGCTCCGAGCTGAAGCTGAAGCGGCTCTGTTGCCGGCACGGGTGAGCCCCCAGCAGCCTGGCTTCTCTGCAGGGCCCCGTCTTCCCTGTGCTCTGTCCCCACGTGGCTGTGTAGCCTTGGCCTAGTCAGCGCCTCTTTCAGGGCCTGGCCCTCCTCTGTAAAGTGGGCATACGCGTGCCTCCACGTAGGGCTGGGTGGCATGGGAGGTCGAGGTGCCCACGGTGCTCACTACGGGGGTTTCCATCCCTCTTGGCCCCAGACCTCTGACATCCCCCGTCACCACTCCTCTCACAGGCTGCTGGGTGTGGACAAGGTGCTGGGCTATGCGCTCAACGAGTGGCTCCAGGACATCCGCAAAAACCAGTTGCCCGGCCTGCTAGGAGGCGTGGGCCCCATGCACTCCGTCGTCCAGCTCTGTGAGTCGTCCGGGGGAGACTGGGCACTCGAAAGCACTGTTACACTTGGGCAGCCTAGAAGCTGCCGTTACATAGGAGGAGGGGGTCTTCGAGCAGGGCAGAGGGGGGCAGGGAAGCTTTGGGCTCCTCTGACCAGCCCGCCCCACCCCCTAGTCCAAGGGTTCCGGGACCTGCTGTGGCTGCCCATTGAGCAGTACCGGAAGGACGGGCGCCTCATGCGGGGGCTGCAGCGAGGGGCTGCCTCCTTCGGCTCATCCACGGCCTCCGCCGCCCTGGAGCTGAGCAACCGGCTGGTGCAGGCCATCCAGGTGAGTGGGCGCCCTGCATCCAGGTTATGCCTGCAGCGCCCCGATTCTGTCCTCGAAGCTGTCCTGAGAGTGGGCGGGCTGTGTATCACAGCCCCATTTTACAGAGCAATGTCACAGAGGAAAGGCCACGTGACCTGCCTGGTGCCCACTGCCAGGTCTCCCCAGACCACTGTCTCCATGCCCTGGAGTGTCTTGAAAAGTGTGTGGGGGGGTGTTTACAGACAGAGAAACCAAGACCTGGAAACCGGCCCCAGTTCATGTAGGTCATGCACTTTGCAGGCCCACAGGGATCCCCAGGGGTGGTCTTGTGAGCAGGGGTGATCAGGGCTGCGAATTCTGGGGGCAGGGAAGGGCAGGCACATGGAGAACACGGTGCCTTCTGGGACCTGCAAGCTCAAATACCCAGGGGGTGAAGAGCAGAGTCTCTAGAGAAGAGGCTAGAGGGATGAGCCAGCACCAGAGAGCCCCCACGGTGCTATTTTGGGTAGAGTGGCATTGGGTAAGTGATGTGGGGGCAGAGAACAGAGGCGCTGGTGACAGAGGGAAGGTCAGGCTTGGTGATTGGCTTGCTGATGGTCAGGGGGATGAGTGTCAAGGAGCCCAAGCCCCTGCTGGAACCTTCCCCCAGCACTGGGGAGGCCAGACAAGGAACAGATGGAGGAGGGCATGAGCCAGTCCTAGGCAAGCCGTCGGTGGCACCAGGAGCCAGCAGTGGAGGTCTGGCATGCCTGGACATGCTGGTCAGCCCCAGAAGGCTTAGGCTTGAGCAGACACTAGGGTGTCCCCTCTGGAGTCATACTCCACCCGAAATTTCCTGACCTGGGTGGTGGGTGCCATGGGGGGGTAGAAGGTGGAGAGAAGAGACTACGTAGGAGCCCCAGGGACAGCACAGCTAAAAGCTCTGGTGAGGCCAAGGGGTGGCAGCACCCACAGACTGGCCAGGAGGCCCAGTGGCCAGACATGCCTGCCTGGGCTGGCTCTCTTCATCTTGCACCCCTTTGTCCTTCAGGCCACGGCCGAGACGGTGTATGATATCCTGTCCCCGGCCGCACCCATCTCCCGCTCCCTGCAGGACAAGCGCTCTGCAAGGCGGCTGCGCAGGGGCCAGCAGCCCGCTGACCTCCGGGAGGGCGTGGCCAAGGCCTACGACACGGTTCGAGAGGTGAGAAGACCCATGCCCTCCTCCCCATCACCCCATACTCACCTGCTCACTCAGATCCCCCCATTGACTTCTGACCTCCACAGGGCATCCTGGACACAGCTCAGACCATCTGTGATGTGGCGTCGCGGGGCCATGAGCAGAAGGGACTGACAGGTGCCGTGGGGGGCGTGATCCGCCAGCTGCCCCCGACGGTGGTGAAGCCACTCATCCTTGCCACAGAGGCCACGTCCAACCTGCTTGGGGGGATGCGCAACCAGATCCTCCCCGACGCCCACAAGGACCACGCTCTCAAGTGGCGCTCAGAGGAGGCCCAGGACTGAACAGGGGCAGCTGGGACCCAGAGGGGCGCTGGCCACCCTCCCTCTCAGCCTACCTGCCACCTCCGGCCAGCACCAGTGTGCCACTGGCTCCCAAGCCTCCTGAGAGCTGCGACCCACAGCCAGGCAGGGAGGGACCTTCGGGGTCAGTCACTGTGAAGGACACCTGCCCGGCTTGCCCATTGCCAAGCCACCACGAGAGGGGCCTCCCTGCCTTGGGGCCTCAGCCCCGTCTCTGCACTTTTCCTCTGGGGAGAAAGGACTCTGCCCCTCCCTGCTGCCTTGTCCCAGGACGGAGGCTTTTGGACCCTTGGACCCCAACCCCACTCAGCCAAGTGTCTTTCTGTTGTCTTGGGGGGAGGTGGGGGGACAGACACCATGTGGTTCGATGTATGATTTTTAAGCTCCTTGAGCGTGTGGGTCAGTGTCTGCATGAAGTGGAATAAACTGTACCCGCCGCCAGCCCCGCCCAGGTCCTGGGTGCCTGTCCTACCCTGTTATCCCGGTATCAGCCTTGACCTTGGCCC